GTGTAAAGGAGACTGAGGCAGACAGATCATGAGTTACAGGCTATTTCAAAAAAGAAACAAAGCACAAATACAACATGCTTTCTCAAAGTGATATATACTTATTTTTTTATAACATACAGTGTACCTATTATTTAGTATACAAAGCTTCCATTGCACTATTAAAGCCTTTTATCTCCTCTAAAATACAGAAGTCAAAAGCAAGGTATGGTGGCACAGGCCTATAATCCTGTCTCCTAGGAGACTATAGCAAGAGGATTGCCTCAAGTTCAAGATCAGCTTAGACTCTATTGCAGATCTCAAAAAAACCCCCCACAACAAATGAAACAAAAAAGGGAAACCTAGTCAGGTGTGCTGGTGTATGCTTATAATTCTAGCCTTTGGGAGGCTGAAGCAAGAAGATTGCTCTGAATCTGTGGCCACCCTGGCCTACAAAGTAAGACCCTGTCATTCTTTGCCTGCCCCCCAGTTTTTTTGTGTGTGTAGTAAGAGTGATGGCTCATGCGTGCAGTTCCAGAAGTTAGGAGGCTGAGACTACATATTGAGTCTTATCTCAAAGAAAACAGTTATATATATATAGGCAGCTTGTCACACTGTTTCCTAATTCTTAGATGCATTCTAACAAATTTTACTTCAGAAGAAGCAACAGATTTGTTTCTGAGTCTGTTGTCATACTAAGGAAATGTGACATGACCAGTTAGAGCCTATGTAGTTTCCTTGAGATAAGAATAGACTAGTTGGGGCTGGAGAGATGGCTCAGTGAATAAGAGCACTTGCTGCTCTTGCAGAGGACCGAGGTTCAATTCCCAGCACCCACATGGCAGCCAACAACTGTCCGTAACTTCAGTTCTAGGGAATCTGATGCCCTCTTCTGACCTCTGCAAGCATTGCATGACACAGGTGCATTTGCACATATGCAGGAAATACTCATACATGTAAGATAAAAATAATAAATAATTTTTTTGGTCTTTCTGAGACAGGGTCTCCCTGCAGCCCCACCTGGCCTGGAACTTGCTTTGTATACCAAGCTGGCCTCAGATTCACAGAGATCCACTTGCCTCTGCTTCCCAAGTGCTGGGATTAAAGGCATGCACCACCACTCCTTGCTAATTTATAATTTATTTTATTTTTATTACATTCATTTATTTATGGATGTATGTATGGATATATATATGTATGTGTGTACGTATGTGGGTTGCCTGTGCCATGTCATGAGTGTGGTGGTCAGATGATAACTTGTGGGACTTGATTTTCTCCTTCCACCATCTGGGTCCCTGGTGTGGAATTGTAAGTTGTCAGGATTGACAGCAGATGCCTTTACTTGATGAGCCATCTCACCACTCCATATATTTTATTTTATTTTATTTTATTTTATTTTATTTTATTTTATTTTATTTTATTTCAAGGTCTCTGTGTAAACTCGCGTCCTCTGAAAGAGCAGAAAACTCTCTCTCTCTCTCTCTCTCTCTCTCTTTCTCTCTCTCTCTCTCTTTGTCTTTTTGAGACAGGGTCTCCCTGTAGCCCCAGCTGTCCTGGAACTCACTATGTAGACCAGGCTGGCCTTGAGCTCACTTGCTTCTGCTTCCCAAGTGCTGGGATTAAAGGCGTGAGCCACCACACCCGGCTATATTTTTTAAAGTAGTGTGTAGGTATTTGTTAAGTGCTATACTTTAACCGTATATTAAAACTAATAACTGGCATTGTGTTATACATTTATGATCCCAGCATTTGGAAATTGGAGGCAGGAAGATCAGGAGTTAAAAGTCACCTTCAAGATTGGGGTCTGGTAGTGCATGCCTTTAATCCCAGCACTCAGGAGGCAGAGGCAGATCTCTGTAAGTTCAAGGCCAGCCTGGTATACATAGTGAATTCCAGGCCAGCTGGGCTACAAGGAGACCCTGTCTCAAAAAGCCCCCCACCCCCCAAAAAAAGTCAGTGTTAGCTGTATACAAAGTTTGAGACCAACCTAGGCAATATAAAAATGGGGGGAGGGAACCCGACTATTAAATACTGAAAATTCAGGGCTGGAGAGATGGCTCAGCGGTTAAGAGCACTGACTGCTCTTGCAGAGGACCCGGGTTCGATTCCCAGCACCCACAGGGCGGCTACGAACCATCCTTAACTCCAGTTTCAGGGGAATCTGAAGCCCTCTTCTGATCTCCTAGGCATTGCACCACATGGGTGCACTCACATACATGCAGGCAATACACTCATACACATAAAATAAAAATAATAAATAAAAATAGTTTAAAATTACTGAAAATTCAAAATAAAATGTCTTAAAACATACCGAATGCCACTCAATTTCTTAGTACTTATTAAATATAATACTAGCCATGTGTGGTACACCCCTATAATCTCTGTATTCAAGAAACTGAAGGCAAGAAGATCAGAAGTTCAAGTTTAGCCTGGGCTATGTAGCAAGGCCCTATCTTTTTATTTTTATTTTATGTGTTTGAGTCTATTGCCTGCATGTGTGTACATGCACCTGGTGTTGTGCAGTGTCCTTGGAGGTCAGAAGAGGGCGTTGGATTCCTTGGAACTTGAGTTATGGATGGTTATTAGCTACCATGTAGGTGCTGGGGATCGAACCCAGGTCCTCTGCAAGAGCAGCCAGTGCTCTTAACCCACTGAGCCGCCTCTCTAGCCCCAAGACCCTGTCTTCAAAATAAAAAATGAGTTGTTGGACAGATGTCTCTGTAAGAGTGCTTACTGTGCAAATATGAGGACTTTAGTTTGGATCCCACACCAATGTAAAAAGTTAGGTGCAGTGTACTGCATTCGTGTGGTGGGGAGAGGAGACAGGATGTTCCTAGGGTTTGCTGACTGCCAGCTTAGCTCTAGGTTCAGCAAGGGACCAAGTCTCCAAGGACTAAAGTAAAGACTGATAGAGCAAGACACCTGATGTCCTCCTCTGGCTTCTGAATGTAGGTACACATATCTTACACAGGGGTGCATATACCATATACACTGTACTTAACTTACATATACACATAAACAAAAGTTTTTGAAAAAACAAAGGACTGGAGAGATGGCTTAGCAGTTAAGAGCTGGTTGCTCTTGCAGAGGATCCAGACTTGATTCCCAGCACCCATATGGCAGATGACAACTGTCTATAACTCTAGTTCCAGGAGATCTAACACCATCTTCTAGCCTCCGTGGGCACTGCACACAATGGGTGCACTTACACACATTCAGGCAATACAACTCAATACACATAAAATAACAATAATAAATAAAATGTTTTTTTTAAATAATAATAAAATGAAAACCAAGCCATGCCATGGTGTACACCTTTAATCCCAATACTCAAGAGGCAGAAGCAGGCGGGTCCCTGTGAGATTGAGGCCTGCCTGATCTCTATAGGCCTACCTGATCTATGTAGCAAGTTCCAGGCCAGCTGGGATTACAGGAAAACTCTGTCTCAGCAAAACAAAATGAACCGAACTGAACCAAACCACCCTCAAAACTCCAAACTATTAAAGAGAGACTTAGAAAGAGAACAGCCTTTTAACATTTTATATTGAAGGAAGAAAAATTTATATTTTACCAGCTAATGACTAATAAAAAGTAAGATATGAAGAAAAATGAGCATTTTTATATGGTTGTTGGAAAGCCATAGAGCGATAACTATGTTGGGAATGTGTCTGCTTGATGGGATTTTATAACTCCTTTGATCTTGTTCTGGTATAGAAAAAGCACAGGTGTAATTTGTAGCAGATTGACTTTTAGTCTATTTGTGTCTTTTTGGAACTGATTAAAACTTATAGTAAAATATTTTAAGTATAAAGAAGACTGTTTAGGGCATGAATAATAATTTTTTAAAATATTATTTGTGGCTGGAGAGGTGGCTCAGCTGTTACGAGCATTGGCTGCTCTTAGGGAGGACCCTGGTTTGTTTTCTAGCACCCACATGGTGACTAAGAGCTGTCAGTAACTTCAGTTCCAGGGTCTCTGATGCCCTCTTCTGACCTCTATGGGCATTGCACAACATGGGTGCACTTACATACATGCAGACAAAACACTCATGCCCATAAAATAAAAATAGTAAATAAAATATTATTATGGTGGGTTGCTTGAGAGATGGCTCAGCAGTTAAGAGCACCGGCTGCTGTTGCAGATGACCCAGGTTAGGTTCCCAGCACTCAACATGGCAGCTCACAACTGTCTGTTACCCTGGTTCCAGGGGATCCAATGCCCTCTTCTGACCTCCATGGGCATTGCATGACGCTGGTGCACTTACATACATGCAGGCAAAACACTTGCACAAAATAAAAATAAATAAAAAATACTATATGGGCCTATAAGATGGCTCGGGAATAAGGATGCTTGCTGCCAAGCTTGACAACCTGAGTTTGAGCTCTGGGATCCAAACCCACATGGTGAAAGGAGAGAGCCAACTCCTGTGAGTTATCTTCTGACATCCACTGTCCACACTTCCATGTGCATACCCACTTACACATAATACGTAAATAACTGTTAAAAAAAAAAGTATAAAGATGAATTACATTGGGTGTCTCTGCTTCTAGTTTGAATAATCTGAAGTGGCAGTTCCTTGCTACCCTCTAATTTTTTTCCTGTCTTTTACAACTTTATACTTACAAGGTCTCACTATGTTAACCAAACTGGCCTTGAGCTTGTAACAATCCTCCTGACTCTGTCTCCTGAGTATTATGATTCTAGGCATTTAACTACTGTGACCAGCTTGTAAGTATTACTT